ATTTTCTCTCACAGTTCCAGCACTCAAGCATGGGGAGGAGTGCAGATGCAGATACTCTGACTTCTGTAACAAGTGAAGAGACCAATTCAGACAAGTTGGCTCTGGCCTCAGCAACCAAGTATCGTAAAGCTACTCAAGAGGTCAAAGATTACGAGATATCCATAGATGGAGTTGATGTTGATGAATGGGCCAAGTCTGTACCGGATGATGGGTCTGCAGGTGAACGAAGTCCTTTTGATAGAGTGGACATCCTCACTAAGAGGAATACAACAGTCACTACTCTGAAGGATTCTCCTGCCTTAGATGATGCTATTGGTTTCTTTGAGACTCATCACTGTATCATGCCAACAAATGGTCCGTACAAACTACATCCTGGACAAGCTTCTGATCTTGATTGGTTGGAATGTAACATGGCTGGTCTATTTGATTTAGATCCTGCCCATGTACCACAACTTAGACCACCAGATTTTGAAGCTTACAAGTCAGGCAGGCAACCATCTGTTCTGTTTGTTCCTGAAACGCCTATCAACTTTGTCACTGAGTCTACTCCACTGCGAGACAAACCCATAGACTTGACTTATAAGTTGTCACCCTCTGGACCTCGACACAGCACACACTGCAGAACACATTCTGAGGATGGAAGGTGGAACTCAAAGGACAACTCTGCAGAACCAGGCCCACCGTCTCATGATCCAAATGCTCATGATCCTGTCCTGACAATGGAACCAATGTATAAGAACTTGAGCTCTGCAATGAAATTGCATGAACGCAGCTGGGAACGCCTGCGCAAGTGGTTGCCCAAGCTAGATATCCAGAAATTATTTCTGTGGACTATTGTCTATCTAGCTAGATCTCCTGTGGAGGCCCACCATGAACACAAATATCATCTCTTGGCGTCATCCCTAGAGTCTATTTGTTACATGTTAGGCACAGTAGGCAACGTGGAACATCCTGGATGCCACATGACCTACCAATTTCTGTTTCTAGAAAGGAACAACTTTTTGTTTCCTTCAGAAATCTGCTCTGCTCAATCACCTACCAAGCTACACAAACGTCTTGATCTACCTGATGGGGAGGAACTCACACTCCCTACAATAATCACCTCAATTGATCTATCTGATGGGGAGGAGTTGGCACCCCCTACAAAAATCAAATCCAGTGACAATCAGACCATTAAGACCGTTGTTTATTCTAGTGAGGATGAATCAGGTATAGAAGACGTTCTGCTAGGAAATTGGGACCTCATTGGACAAACTTTCCTTCTCTCACCAGATGAAAGTTATGTTCGACGTGCTAAGATTGTTGAGCTTAACTACAAGCACAACCGCAACAAGGACATTGAGCCTGCACATATTCAACTATGCCTGAACATTGACAAAGGTGAATATGAACGTGTCATGGCTTACCGTAACATCCACAAGTGGTCAGAAATTGACACAGACACCCCCATTGTTTGGAATCTCAAGTGGGTTGTATGCTGCCATCACTACATTCGACTTGAACACCCTTCTTACCTGGGTCTGACCTTTTGTATGGCCATTGGATGGAAACATGGGGAGAATACTCCAGAAGCACTGAGCATCACTGGAGCCGACGACTCAGTGACCTACACTATACATGCCAGAAATCACAACCTGTTGGAAAGTCAAGGTTTTAAACCTCTTGGAAATATAGTCAAGGACAAGAAGAAACTTCTTTGTCCATCCAATCAAGTCAAGCTGAGATTGCTACACACTACTTCACCAAAGTGTATGTTGAATGGAACCTCAATTGATTTCTTATCTAAGGAGCAGCCAACTGTTGAGACTGCTACTTATGATTCTGAGCCTGTAGCCACTCAAACCTGTGCCAAACAGATCATGGATCTCCAACAAACCTTGAGGTACCTTGGTGTGTCGATCAGAGGTCAAAGCTACATGTCTGGTGACAATGAATCTGTCATGAACAGTTCTTCCCTACCTGAAGCGAAGCTACACAATCAAGATGTTGCATTGTCATTCCACCGTGTGAGAGAAGCAGTAGCAGCTAACATGCTATCTATTATCCACATTGACAGTGCTCTCAACCCAGCTGATATTCTCAGCAAACATTGGGGTGATCAGCAAATCTGGACACTACTACTGACTCTAATGTTCTGGTCTGGGGATACTGCTGAACGAGAGGACTAGGTCCTCACTTCATCCCATTTGGGGAGTGACAGAATTCTAACAGGAACGGGACTTGTGACTCAACCTATAGGATTCCCAGGTTGAAGTGTAGCCTGTGCGCCGCACGCATCACACGTGTGCAAACTGTTACACGCCATTAATTTAGCGTAGAAAAGAACTGAGTCAGCAGTTCTCTGACAAATCATAGGATTTGCATGGAAAAGTGATGGATCATCGCTTTTCTCACTGCATGCTTTTTACTTGGATTGATATCGATCAACTTGTAGGAACTAGTCAACTATAGGCTTATAGTCTATACTCATTTATTTCTGTCAATGCTGAGGTCATAGTGGAGTAAGCATGCGGTGAACATGCGGCTCCACCGATGCATGGCAACGCTGGGGGTCAGATTCGGTGGTATGGGTTGTTGGAGGGGTCGGAAGTCCACAAAGCGGTGTTCTTGGATGAGAAGGGAGAGGAGATGGATGGATGGGCACACGTGGAAGAGGGTTGCAAGGTCGGTCTGGCTCAGGTACCAGGGTAGCGGCTCTTCAGCAAAAATATCCAGGTATGTTCAAACTTATGCTCTGTACTGAACCACCTGTCCAGGCTGTCCTTACCATGCGGAGAATTGACGGCAAGAAAAACCGGGGATGGGAGTTTGGTGGCTGCCCAGGCCTCGCGGTCGCGTTTGGTCATGGATGGGGTAGACGGACGACCTTGGACGGAGACTTCAAGGAGCTCTCCAAATTTTTCTTGCTCTGCGTCAGTGAATTGGTAGTACTGGGAATTGGGAGGCAGGGCGGACCGGTGGTGTGCTGAGGGCGTTGCCGAAGGTTGGCTCGGTGGAGGGGTGGAGGTGGAAATGTGGAGCAGGTTGGGTTGGTTCGACATTGGTGGCTGGGTCAGTTGGTAAACGAGGCTGCTTGGGTGAGGGATGATGCATGTAGAGCACTCAGGAAGGAAGTGGAAAGTAAGTCACTGACGGGTTGAATGGTGTTTAAGTAATGGAGTTGGTGGAACTAACCATGAGGCTTTGGGGCCGAACGGGTCACCCCAGGGGTTTTTTCAATGAATTTTTCAAATGCCTGGGTGTCGGCAGATCCCATAGTTGCTGCAAACTGTTTGGTGTAATGGATATTGTGGCAGCGGGGGCGGTTGCAATGGTAGTTGGCAAATAGGAAATGGGAACAGAAGTCTGCCTGTTTGCCGGTAATGGGGTGTTTACATTTGAAAGGGGCAATTGGAAGTTGGCCTAGGCCGTCATACATCAGGTATCCGGGATGAGTTCCTTGAGGTGGGTGCTTTGCGCGTTTGGTTGGGTCAGGCCATTCACGGGAATTGGGGCTCTCACGTTTGGGAGCGGGGGTTGGTTTTCCAGTGAGAATAGCATGCAGGTTGGGGCATGTGCCGTATGGGCCAAGGTTGCCCATACTGATGGAGAGATTGATGTGGCTGATGGCTTGTGTGACTCCACTGAAAGCGTTCACGAACGTGTCTGCCATGATCGGTTGGCCATTACAAAGTTTACTTTGAGTCGTTTTGTTTTTGGCGGCTCCCACACAATGGGAGGTGTGGGACTACGGCATTGTAACGGATCCAATCTTTGGCAGCAGGTGTGTGGAGGGCGTTCATGAAATCCTCCAAGAGTGTGACAATTAATGGGGGGTCATCGAAGGTAAAGTCTTCGACACAGTATTTGACAAAGGCAAAGAAATTTGCTAACATCTTGATCAGAGCTTTGACAGAACTGATGTCGCCATGAACAAAGATGTCTGTCTTTTTCGCGGCTTGCTTGGACTTGTCTTCTTCCATGGCTTCCTGGCGGATTATGTCTCGGCCTTCCGAGAGGAAAGTGGTGTACCTGACATCATTTTTGTTCGGTGGGAGCCAAGCTAGGAGGCTGAGAAGTGAGGTGGCTTTGTGGGGGTGCATGGTGAGGGGGCGAACTCCAAAGCTGCATGTTTTGAGGGCAGTGACTGTAGCGTGTTGGAAGAGGGCAATATCGAAGTTGACGTTTCGGTCGTAATTGTTCCGAGTGGTGAGGGTATCGGTGATGTGGGCAAAGGTGTCATGGAGGTGGCGTAGGGCCTCTTTGATCGAACCGATTTCCAAGAATGTGACAAAGTCGTCAGTGAGGACGGATGGGTGGAATTCGTTGACAGTGGAGCCGTCAAGCTGGATGACCGGTTTGACTCGGCCAAAAATCAAGCTGAAAGAGTCTTTGGCACTGGCTGAAGTGCGGGCCAGATCTTTTTCCTTGGTGCTGGCATTGGCGCCTTTGAGAGCGTTGGCCATGATCTGGGCAAAAAGTTTGCTATCAAATGGGGCCCCTGCTGGAAGGGGGGCTGCTGGAGCTTCTTGGGTAGTGACATGATTAGTAGATGCTAAAGTAGAGAGGGCCAAGTGCTGTTTGAATTCTTCGAAGAGGGCTTTGTAGGTGAGGACCTCAGCTGCAAATGCACTGACGGTGGATGGGGAATATGTCAGATGCGTAGCTAGGTCGCTGTCTGGAAATCGATCGGTTGGGATGGTGTCGGCGCTGAAGATGTGGGCGTGGGAATGGAGGCTCTGGGACTCATTGTGATCGTGAAGGTACTTCATTGCCTTGTACCAGAGCCGGAATTGGGGGTGGAAGGATTCTAGATTGGACGGTGGGGCGGTGGATAGCTTAAGGCTTGGTGGGATGTTGGCACCAGGGTAGATGGGGAAGAACTTTTTGACTTTGGTGAACACTCCGTCCCCACTGGGCCAGTGGATGTCCTTGGGCGGGTCGGTGCTATCAGGGGCCAAGGCAGTGTGGGCAGAGTATTGGGCGTCATGAAGGTGCCGGGCTTGACATTCTCAAGCGAGGTCGTCTCGGGCAATAGATATGACGCTGCTGCCAAGGGCATCTAAAGAAAAGGCAACTGGGGTGGGGACATCATAGCTATCATTGGCGGATGTGCAGTGCAAGTTTGGGCCGACCTGCTTAGCGCAGATGACTTGCCGGAGGGTACCATCGGCGCCATTAAAGTAAGCAAATCCGTGCGCTTGGGAGAGGAGGATGTTTTTGCACTCACTAGCGATATGAGTGTGGAAGTAGTTGGAGAGGAGGAGGTTTTCCTTAGTAGTTCCAGGGGTAGGTCCTTGACGGTTGTCAAAGCAGAACGACCAACCTGGAGGATGGCATCAAGGGTGCATGGGGGAAAGGTCTGCATTGGTTCAAATGAAATGGCCAATACTGGAGATTTGTGAGTAGGTTATGGAAACGAATAGTGACTTTTGGGGGTAATTTTTAAATGAAATTTGTTGGTTGGAACGGTCGGTTCTGAGAGGGTGTAGTACCTTCACGATCACAATGAGTCCCAGAGCCTCCATTCCCACGCCCACATCTTCAGCGCCGACACCATCCCAACCGATCGATTTCCAGACAGCGACCTGGCTACGCATCATGCAACAAAATGATGCAATCACCATGATCAATGCAACTACATTTCTTATATAACTACCTTGCTACCTTCCACAATTTTTCTACTCCCTTTTATATGATGCACCAGCCATCCACAATTTTTCTTTTTTTCTTTTTTTCCCCCCCACTCCATGCACTCGCAAGTGTCTTGGCCCTTTCTTCCGTTTCATCCGGAAGCGATCGCATAACATTCCTTGGCCTGATTTATCTCTTCTGCACCAAATGCTCGGTACCATCCAGGTCCCAACTTTGTGTCACGTTTGCATCCATTGAGTCGAATCTTCGATTCCCGTTTCCAAATCCGGTCCCTAATTCTAGTTACCAAGCTTACGATGCCAAACCTACATCTCTTACTTACGTATGGAGGACTGGCATAATCTTGTTTGGTACAAATTCGTAGTATGCAATCATCCTATGCCAATCACGCTAGATATCGAGTCATGAAGTGGAGGCGGCGCCTGGTAATCCGTAGGATTACTTGATCTACCTGATGGGGAGGAACTCACGCTCCCTACAATAATCACCTCAATTGATCTATCTGATGGGGAGGAGTTGGCACCCCCTACAAAAATCAAATCCAGTGACAATCAGACCATTAAGACCGTTGTTTATTCTAGTGAGGATGAATCAGATATAGAAGACGTTCTGCTAGGAAATTGGGACCTCATTGGACAAACTTTCCTTCTCTCACCAGATGAAAGTTATGTTCGACGTGCCAAGATTGTTGAGCTTAACTACAAGCACAACCGCAACAAGGACATTGAGCCTGCACATATTCAACTATGCCTGAACATTGACAAAGGTGAATATGAACGTGTCATGGCTTACCGTAACATCCACAAGTGGTCAGAAATTGACGCAGACACCCCCATTGTTTGGAATCTCAAGTGGGTTGTATGCTGCCATCACTACATTCGACTTGAACACCCTTCTTACCTGGGTCTGACCTTTTGTATGGCCATTGGATGGAAACATGGGGAGAATACTCCAGAAGCACTGAGCATCACTGGAGCCGATGACTCAGTGACCTACACTATACATGCCAGAAATCACAACCTGTTGGAAAGTCAAGGTTGTAAACCTCTTGGAAATATAGTCAAGGACAAGAAGAAACTTCTTTGTCCATCCAATCAAGTCAAGCTGAGATTGCTACACACTACTTCACCAAAGTGTATGTTGAATGGAACCTCAATTGATTTCTTATCTAAGGAGCAGCCAACTGTTGAGACTGCTACTTATGATTCTGAGCCTGTAGCCACTCAAACCTGTGCCAAACAGATCATGGATCTCCAACAAACCTTGAGGTACCTTGGTGTGTCGATCAGAGGTCAAAGCTACATGTCTGGTGACAATGAATCTGTCATGAACAGTTCTTCCCTACCTGAAGCGAAGCTACACAATCAAGATGTTGCATTGTCATTCCACCGTGTGAGAGAAGCAGTAGCAGCTAACATGCTATCTATTATCCACATTGACAGTGCTCTCAACCCAGCTGATATTCTCAGCAAACATTGGGGTGATCAGCAAATCTGGACACTACTACTGACTCTAATGTTCTGGTCTGGGGATACTGCTGAACGAGAGGACTAGGTCCTCACTTCATCCCATTTGGGGAGTGACAGAATTCTAACAGGAACGGGACTTGTGACTCAACCTATAGGATTCCCAGGTTGAAGTGTAGCCTGTGCGCCGCACGCATCACACGTGTGCAAACTGTTACACGCCATTAATTTAGCGTAGAAAAGAACTGAGTCAGCAGTTCTCTGACAAATCATAGGATTTGCATGGAAAAGTGATGGATCATCGCTTTTCTCACTGCATGCTTTTTACTTGGATTGATATCGATCAACTTGTAGGAACTAGTCAACTATAGGCTTATAGTCTATACTCATTTATTTCTGTCAATGCTGAGGTCATAGTGGAGTAAGCATGCGGTGAACATGCGGCTCCACCGATGCATGGCAACGCTGGGGGTCAGATTCGGTGGTATGGGTTGTTGGAGGGGTCGGAAGTCCACAAAGCGGTGTTCTTGGATGAGAAGGGAGAGGAGATGGATGGATGGGCACACGTGGAAGAGGGTTGCAAGGTCGGTCTGGCTCAGGTACCAGGGTAGCGGCTCTTCAGCAAAAATATCCAGGTATGTTCAAACTTATGCTCTGTACTGAACCACCTGTCCAGGCTGTCCTTACCATGCGGAGAATTGACGGCAAGAAAAACCGGGGATGGGAGTTTGGTGGCTGCCCAGGCCTCGCGGTCGCGTTTGGTCATGGATGGGGTAGACGGACGACCTTGGACGGAGACTTCAAGGAGCTCTCCAAATTTTTCTTGCTCTGCGTCAGTGAATTGGTAGTACTGGGAATTGGGAGGCAGGGCGGACCGGTGGTGTGCTGAGGGCGTTGCCGAAGGTTGGCTCGGTGGAGGGGTGGAGGTGGAAATGTGGAGCAGGTTGGGTTGGTTCGACATTGGTGGCTGGGTCAGTTGGTAAACGAGGCTGCTTGGGTGAGGGATGATGCATGTAGAGCACTCAGGAAGGAAGTGGAAAGTAAGTCACTGACGGGTTGAATGGTGTTTAAGTAATGGAGTTGGTGGAACTAACCATGAGGCTTTGGGGCCGAACGGGTCACCCCAGGGGTTTTTTCAATGAATTTTTCAAATGCCTGGGTGTCGGCAGATCCCATAGTTGCTGCAAACTGTTTGGTGTAATGGATATTGTGGCAGCGGGGGCGGTTGCAATGGTAGTTGGCAAATAGGAAATGGGAACAGAAGTCTGCCTGTTTGCCGGTAATGGGGTGTTTACATTTGAAAGGGGCAATTGGAAGTTGGCCTAGGCCGTCATACATCAGGTATCCGGGATGAGTTCCTTGAGGTGGGTGCTTTGCGCGTTTGGTTGGGTCAGGCCATTCACGGGAATTGGGGCTCTCACGTTTGGGAGCGGGGGTTGGTTTTCCAGTGAGAATAGCATGCAGGTTGGGGCATGTGCCGTATGGGCCAAGGTTGCCCATACTGATGGAGAGATTGATGTGGCTGATGGCTTGTGTGACTCCACTGAAAGCGTTCACGAACGTGTCTGCCATGATCGGTTGGCCATTACAAAGTTTACTTTGAGTCGTTTTGTTTTTGGCGGCTCCCACACAATGGGAGGTGTGGGACTACGGCATTGTAACGGATCCAATCTTTGGCAGCAGGTGTGTGGAGGGCGTTCATGAAATCCTCCAAGAGTGTGACAATTAATGGGGGGTCATCGAAGGTAAAGTCTTCGACACAGTATTTGACAAAGGCAAAGAAATTTGCTAACATCTTGATCAGAGCTTTGACAGAACTGATGTCGCCATGAACAAAGATGTCTGTCTTTTTCGCGGCTTGCTTGGACTTGTCTTCTTCCATGGCTTCCTGGCGGATTATGTCTCGGCCTTCCGAGAGGAAAGTGGTGTACCTGACATCATTTTTGTTCGGTGGGAGCCAAGCTAGGAGGCTGAGAAGGGGTGCATGGTGAGGGGGCGAACTCCAAAGCTGCATGTTTTGAGGGCAGTGACTGTAGCGTGTTGGAAGAGGGCAATATCGAAGTTGACGTTTCGGTCGTAATTGTTCCGAGTGGTGAGGGTATCGGTGATGTGGGCAAAGGTGTCATGGAGGTGGCGTAGGGCCTCTTTGATCGAACCGATTTCCAAGAATGTGACAAAGTCGTCAGTGAGGACGGATGGGTGGAATTCGTTGACAGTGGAGCCGTCAAGCTGGATGACCGGTTTGACTCGGCCAAAAATCAAGCTGAAAGAGTCTTTGGCACTGGCTGAAGTGCGGGCCAGATCTTTTTCCTTGGTGCTGGCATTGGCGCCTTTGAGAGCGTTGGCCATGATCTGGGCAAAAAGTTTGCTATCAAATGGGGCCCCTGCTGGAAGGGGGGCTGCTGGAGCTTCTTGGGTAGTGACATGATTAGTAGATGCTAAAGTAGAGAGGGCCAAGTGCTGTTTGAATTCTTCGAAGAGGGCTTTGTAGGTGAGGACCTCAGCTGCAAATGCACTGACGGTGGATGGGGAATATGTCAGATGCGTAGCTAGGTCGCTGTCTGGAAATCGATCGGTTGGGATGGTGTCGGCGCTGAAGATGTGGGCGTGGGAATGGAGGCTCTGGGACTCATTGTGATCGTGAAGGTACTTCATTGCCTTGTACCAGAGCCGGAATTGGGGGTGGAAGGATTCTAGATTGGACGGTGGGGCGGTGGATAGCTTAAGGCTTGGTGGGATGTTGGCACCAGGGTAGATGGGGAAGAACTTTTTGACTTTGGTGAACACTCCGTCCCCACTGGGCCAGTGGATGTCCTTGGGCGGGTCGGTGCTATCAGGGGCCAAGGCAGTGTGGGCAGAGTATTGGGCGTCATGAAGGTGCCGGGCTTGACATTCTCAAGCGAGGTCGTCTCGGGCAATAGATATGACGCTGCTGCCAAGGGCATCTAAAGAAAAGGCAACTGGGGTGGGGACATCATAGCTATCATTGGCGGATGTGCAGTGCAAGTTTGGGCCGACCTGCTTAGCGCAGATGACTTGCCGGAGGGTACCATCGGCGCCATTAAAGTAAGCAAATCCGTGCGCTTGGGAGAGGAGGATGTTTTTGCACTCACTAGCGATATGAGTGTGGAAGTAGTTGGAGAGGAGGAGGTTTTCCTTAGTAGTTCCAGGGGTAGGTCCTTGACGGTTGTCAAAGCAGAACGACCAACCTGGAGGATGGCATCAAGGGTGCATGGGGGAAAGGTCTGCATTGGTTCAAATGAAATGGCCAATACTGGAGATTTGTGAGTAGGTTATGGAAACGAATAGTGACTTTTGGGGGTAATTTTTAAATGAAATTTGTTGGTTGGAACGGTCGGTTCTGAGAGGGTGTAGTGCCTAACGGAAGGATGCCTGGTGGAGTATCCAGGGTGGGCCGTCATGGTGTTACAGACGGAAGGTCGGGTGTAGTCGGAGTGCCGAGATGCGCTGCCAGTCTTTGGCGAAGGCAATGGCGACGGGACTCACACGATTGGCACAACGCAAGCTGGCTGAAGCCACCAACCGCAAACTGAAGAACGATATTGATCGCCATGAGGCAGGACCACTCTTCCTGATGATTCTTCCTGGAGAAATGGAAGGCTCTTACATCTTTGTATGCCGCAAGAAGTACGGTCAGTTAGCTCGAAACGTGTTGAGAGGGATAGTTCTGTTCTTGATTCATCATCTGTGTGAACTTACCGATATGCAAGCGGATCGAGTCTTGGGTAAATGGATTCCCAAATCAGAGATCCAGGCGACGCGTCGTAAGTGTTTGGTATGGTGCACCAACACGCTACGCGCTATTGAGGCCTCCGATCAGTCGACCAAGGTGGAGGAGGCTCTGGAGTTTTTGGACGATGTGATCGAAGACACTACCGATGTCTACCAAGGTCAACTCTCAATCGATATGAATATGGCGAATGCCAAGGATATTGACAATGGACAAACGGTCACAGGGACGCTTGATGAAATGCACAAACGTGAACAACAACTGGAGGATGCCTTTGTGGAAATTGAAGCTCGTGACAACGCCTTGGCGGCTAAAGACCAGGCCCTGGCTCAGCAGAAAGCCGCGACTGCAGCTCTTCAAGCCCAACTTGACGCCTTTCAACGTCAAACAGCTCACCACTTGGCCATCAACTCGCAGCCACCTGCTCAAAACAATGAGGTATCTCCAGATCGGTCCGAATTCACTACGCCACCAAAAAAGAGGAAAAGCAAGGATACGTCCACGACTGAGAGGAGCGTTGACAGGTCTAAGGCTGGTCGTAAGCCGCCCCCTAAGTCAACTTGTACCAGCACGTCTGTTCACTTTCAGCAGCCAAAGCAGCGCTCTCGGAACACGTCTCAGGTCCAGGTGGACACAACTCAGATGGAGGGTGATACTACTACAGCTGTGTCTCAGGACGAGAGCCTCTCATCTCTGACAGCGGCATCTCCGGGAGGTGTACACCCATTTTTTCTCCCTTCTCTATCTGGCAAATCCGGTACTAGTGGATCTGCTAAGTTGCCTTCTTTGGCCGGCCATGGAGCGCCTCGCTCCGCGGCAGGGCCATGAGAGGCCCCAGATCGTCTGCCGCTAGGTCACGGCGTGCAGGCAGAAGATCTCGAATTAGTGGCCCGTCAAGTGTTGTTTCCCACGCTTCACTTGACGAATATTTACGCTCTCTGCCACCAGGAGACTGCCTTGGCGATG